GGTAATTATGTTTGTAAATCTTGATAGTGTTAAAGAAATTGAAACTGTATGGTATTGAGCAAATAATTAACCGTTTGGACCGCTTAACTGGTTTAAAAAGAAACGATCCACTCATTTGGATGACTTCCTAAATTTCCAATGCGAAGCTAGCTGAGGGAAAGACCGTGCCCGGGTCTTTGAAAATGAGTGCATTGACAATTTGCTTTCATTTTCACGAGGTACCCACGACTGGGGATCTAATCTCCCAGCTGGAATTTAATCTATATAACGAAAAAAAAGGAACGCTGGGAGTTTGATCGCGACTATTCTTCGTCATTGATAGGTTATAGTCCTTTGAGTTGAAAACAACTGAAGATGATCGATAAATAACAATGATCCATGACCATATATATTTGTGTGCTTACTTAGCCGATTACGAAATGGTACGTTACGATCAATCTACGATGTACTCCCTCCATCCCATAATTATTGTCCAGTTTGAATTTTCATTTCTAGTTCAAATTATACTAAAAGTAGAATCTCAAAATGGACAATAATTTTAAGACAGAGACTTCCTGTAGGTGAACCATTCAACCTTTTTGTTTTTGTTTGGCCCTCTTATTTCCTATTCTTATTAATCACGGGCGACAATTGATGTTTTTCTTTTCTTTTTTTTTCAATTGTAATTTTTTGTTTATGAGACTGGAGTGGAGAATATTGTTAGTATCATTATTGTTGAAGTCAATACTTGTAATATACTTGGGAGTAAAACCATAAAAGTTGAAGGAATATTTAAGTAAAGTATTGTACCCCCAAAGAAAAAATATTTAAGTAAAATGGTACGTATCCGACCAAAGTTTGGGCAACAAAGATTCAAAGTAGACCATTCAAATTTTAGATTAGATGAGGATAGCAAATCCGAGATATGCTTACTTTATATGATGCCTTTAAATGATCTATCTTCAAGTCTCAATAACAACATGCACCGAGAATACTACTCCAAAATTCGTAAGCTTGAGAATTCTCAATTCAAAGCCATAACCATGCAAAAAAAAAAATTATTATTCATTGATTGACTAATATCTAATAGTACCATAAGCATCTTGCAAAATGATCTTTATAAGGTTAAAAGCTTAGTCTTAAATACAGTTGCATAGTTACAGGAACAGACAGAATTTAGCTCATTTTCACATTTATTTTCAAAATATTATAATAGCATTATTTGTTGTTTTACGTGTATCTCATCCCTTATCGAATTAGGCTATAGAATAGCCCAAATGTTAGAAAAGATATACAAAGAACTAAATGCTGTTATTAGAAGGTACGAAGCATAGCGAAATCACATATTTTTCGTGAAATGATTTACTCCTTCGTTAAGAAATGCTTGTACCACGTATTCTTTCCATTCCAAAATAAGTGTCATTCTACATTTTGCACATAGTTTAAGAAACGCTTAAATAGGGTAATAAAATTACTTGAATATCCTCAACCAACCCCATTAAAAAAATATCTACCAATAATATTAATTCTTTCAAGGGTAATTTTGGAAACTTTGGACAAAAAGTGCATTGAAATGTGAGAACGATACTTATTTTGAAATTTTTTCATTTTGCTAAAACGACACTTAATTCGGAACGGGGAAGTACTAATTACCAGCCAAGTAGCTATAACTAGTGCTACTAAATACTAATTGTTGGAGTTGTCAATTCCGATTATCGGGTCCAAATCATGTTATAAATTTCATATACTTTAAACTATAAAAGTTTACGGGGTTCCACCTCAAAACCAATTGGCAATGAGGGGAATAACCCATAAACTTATATACTGATATCAAGTCTCTCACACCATCAATGTGGGATACTCAACACTCCCCCGCAAGCCCAACGCTTCTTCTTGGGTTGGGCTTGTCTATTTTTCTTCAACCCAGTCACCGCCTCACGTCTCAGCCCTACAAGTTCTATCACATCAGGCTTGGAGTTCGACTCTTGACGGGCTGACTCTGATACTTAATAGAAATCCATGGAGTTTCACGGGCTGACTCTGATACCATATAGAAATCCATGGAGTTTCACCTCAAAATCAATTGGTAATGAGGGGAGTAACCTATAGACTTATACATTGATATCAAGTTTCTCCCACCACCGATGTGGGATACTCAACACAAATTAGACACACAAATTGTGTTGATTTTATTATAATACTATATGTTTATCTCTCTCTAAATTGATTTATAGTACTTGCTGGAATTTTGCACTTGATCTTTACTTAAAAGAGCGTCAACAAGGCCACTGTTTCAATATCCATTGTAGGAAATAGGAATCTATTAGTAGGAAAGTATGTAAACGAAGCGGGCTAGTTGCCCATTTCGTGCTTCATTATTAACTGAGCATGATAAGGGAATCATATTCCGGTTTAAGCAAAAACCAGCCAGACGTTAGTGATCAACTGATCATGAATTCTCTTCCATGGCGAATCTAGGTTAGATTCTTGAGCAAATTGAATAGCGTAGCAAACCAGAGGGGTAAGTACGTATTAATTATTCTCAGCACAAAGAATCTTGATTCTCTATTTAGTCAAGTCAATCAAAATTAAGTCCAATCACCACAATAGCTACTAGTCCTCTTTCTTTTTCCTCTTTTTTTTTTTTTTCAAACACCATTTAGAATCTTTAAAGTGTTGAAAAATACTAATTCTCTCTAAATTTTATACGTCGTAAAAGTTTATGTATCGCAAGAGAAGAGTATTGTTATGTACTTTCTATGTATAGTTGACTATGATGAAAAGGTGCATAATTTTCGTTTAGGATCCTCATTTTGTAACGGGGTGACTAACGAGTATTAATATTTACGCACATCAATAACTTGGTGAATGAATAATATTACTTTTTTTGTCCTAAAATTATTGTCCACTTTGAGATTTCACTTTTAGTACAATTTGAATTAGAAATGAAAACTCAAATTGGATAATAATTATAGGATAGAGGGAGTATAAGAAAAAGTCCAGTTCGCCCATTAAAATAATATAAAATGGTGAAGAAGAAAATATAGTCAGTTGTGACGAAAGGATGACTGAATGGAAGATGCATATTGGTGCATCCATGGCTTATTGTGGGATTTAACTTGCTATGAATCGTGTTGTTTTTGCCGATAATTATAGCCCCATTGCACCCCACAAAAATAAAAAATTAAAAATTTAAAAAAAAAAAAAAACAAAAACAAAAACAAGAAAGAAGTAGAAGACGAAGAAAGAAAGTAAAACAACTTGTATGATATATTCTCGGTCCCAATATAATTAATTAACAATATATATATATATATATAACTCACAAAACTTTTATTTTGAGATAGAAGAAGGAAGAAGAAAGAAAGTAGAATAACTTGTATGATATATTCTCGGTCCCAATATAATTAACTAGCAATATATATATAATTCACAATACTTTTATTTTGAGACCGAGGGAGAATGAAACTTTGAAATTAACTAATCACATGGAAGCTGCAAATTGTGCTGCGAGGATTTTGGAGGTTCTGCATGAATTATTGGGGGAGAGAATATAGAAGCCGATTTTGCTAAATTTAGAGGCAATCTGAAACCAGGCGGTCGCATGACATGTTGACATCAATTCCCCTGCAGCACTTCCATCTGTTCTTGATATGGAGCATCCACACCAGTTAGTAAGAGATGGAATCAAAATGATCATCATGATCAAATACATCTAGATAGCAAAAACCAAAAACATCCCCCACATTCAGTCCAAATCCAGCTCTTTCTAGGACTGCAAACCTTGGCATGTTGCTCAAAACATGATAAAGTCATCATTTCCCAAATCTAGAATCCAGATTAATCTCATTTTCTTGAGGGACTTTTCTAACGAAAATTTGTAACACAAAAGAACGAGATAGTTTATACTCTATTCGTTCCAATTTAACAGTACGTTAGTTGAACTGAAACAGTATAACAAAATGAAATACTATTAAATTGGGACGAATAAAGTACAACATTGGAAGATTTCCCAAAAATATTTTGGTGAAAACTGGCAGCAATTTAATTAGTTTGGGTAGAGTTTGATAAGAAGATAACATGGGCACAGATAAGATGATAAAGTTCGATCCATCTTTCAATCCCATCATTTACGCATACCGTGCCTTTGGGCACACGCTCGGTACTAGAAGCATACCAAATCATAACCAAACAAAATTAATGTTTTACTTTTTGCATTACGTGGAGCAAAAGGGTATGCTTAAGATTTTAGAATTAGCGATTAGTTTCCGTGAATTCATTGAGTGAAATTATAAACCTACGATGTGGTAACATTAAACTAACATTTCCAAGTACACGGTTAATGATATTATACGATATTAGTTTGCCATATTTGCTTGCCGACCAAACATTTTTTAAAAGTTGGGCTACTTCCTTGAAGAAAAGAAGACTATACATGGACTTGAAGGGTCAAAAATTAATTTCAAAAATCTTTTTTGGGATTCCTTTTATTTAGTTGTAGTTGACAACTCTTATCTTAAATTCTGATTTAGTAGGTTTTTTGGAATCTGGCAGGGGATCTAATCCCCACAGCTGGGTTGAACTGCTCAGATAATCCACTTGCTATCTCTGATGATGATATTATAAAAAGACAAGAAAATGACTTTTCAAGATATTCAAAAATAACCCCCCAAAAATAAAAGGTTTTAAATTTTCAGCATATTACATTACAGGTTTTATGGTCGAATTCACTGTTCCGATTAATCCATATTCAAGCCGAAAAAGGTACTTTTGGTAAGTTAAACCTCTTGCATCTTCTTTTTACCCTGTTTTCCTTGCGTCATATTATGCACAAGAATGAAGAATCACACCTTTTATGCATATTTTACTTCCCAAGTAGTTATTTTAAAAAAAATAAAAATAAATATTGATAAATAAAAAAGAAAAAAAGAGAAAATATTCGCCAACTTGGTAAACCCCACCACCTTTTCCTCCAGTTTATAAGGAGCTATAAGCTAGCAATACTTCCCCATACCATCATCCATCGATCAATCCTCTTGACTTTCCTTATAAGTCTTTTTCCTCTTTGACTGATCAAGCCAGCTTCTTAGAGCCCCTTTTGAATTCCATCCCGATTTCTCAGTGTTTTCAAACTCATAATTTTGAAAAAAAAAACTCCTATTTTCTTACCAGTTTTAAGTTATCTGAAAGTAATGGCTTCCAGCTCGATGCGTAGCTCTGCTCAATCATGGACTGCAAAACAGAACAAGCAGTTCGAAGACGCTTTGGCTATGTATGACAAAGACACCCCTGATCGTTGGAACAACATTGCCAGAGCTGTCGGTGGCAAATCGGCGGAAGAAGTTAGAAGGCACTATGAAGCACTTGTGAGGGATATCATGCAAATTGAAACGGATCAAGTTGCTCTCCCTAATTACAGGTCCATTGGCAACAATGGCAGAGTTTATGCCAATGAACAGAGGTAATTAAAAAAAAAATAAGAACTTCACTCATTTCATCAATCACATTATCATTATTATTATTCTCGGGCCGACAATTTGTGACACGATAAAAAAAACATGCATCATCAAGAAGCTGGTGAATCTATGTAAAATTCTTCTGGTCTGATCAATATAGTCTAAAACAGGAAACGGGAGTACATGTGCTTTGGTTAAATTTAGTAATTTCTAAGTTCTGGTTAGATTTTTGTTGCCTTTCTGGTACATGATATCAAGAATAGTCGCCATAATTTCTGGTCCCAATGAACAGATTACTCCTGCCCACCTGAAACTATTGAATATTTTAGTAACATCTATATGCAATTTGCTTCAGTTTTCTTAAATGAATCACATGAAATGTAATCTTACTTTAATTTCAAGCACATGATTTGGTGGGGGGTTCTCATCATCTACTCTAAAAAAAATTGCCAATTAACCTCCTGAATATGTCAAATTAAACAGTAACAGTTTAAGGATCATGTTTCTTGTCTGAATGGGAAAAATCCTTACATTAAACCAACACAGTTTCATTAGATCCTTCATGTTTCCGTGATGACCCTTGGGGCAAGATCTTAAACGTTAATTGTTTAAAATCCTTGCTGACGCATTCATTGCAAGCCATATATAATACTCCCTCTGTCCCAAAATTATTATCTAATTTGAGTTTTCACTTTTAGTATAAATTGAACTAAAAATGAAAACTCAAACTGGACAATAATTATGGGACAGAAGGAGTAACAATATCAAAACTACAAAGTCAAAATTGTATTTCCAGAAATATCATGGTCTATTCAAAAGGTCTGTCCTACAGAATCTTTAATCACACAGTAAAAATAATTGTTTTGGCATACACCAATTCTGGACTATTGGATGATTTTGACTACTTTTTTATGTTGGTATTGTACAGCATTTGTGAGACATTAACTTTAATGTCTCCTTCCGTCTCAAATTAGTACAATAAACATAACAATTATTTTAGGATGAAGAAAGTATATTCTATATCTAGATCAAAATCCGATCTAGTGAATATATACGCTGTCCCCGGATTCGGAGTACATATACATCTTTTTAGTTTGACAAGCCAAGAAGAGGATATGTTAAAATAATGCAATAGATGAGGTCAACTTCTATAAGCTTGTAGGCCAAAAGTTAGAAGTTACACTACTTTTGCATTAAACTATGAAAAGAAACTGCCATAGTAAGTTAGTAAACTATCTTAGTGTCACACTTTTTTACTTGAACTGATGCATCTGCTCTATTTTCTTTGACAACAGGCTTCTGAAGAATCTAAAGCTGCAGTAAATAGTAACACTGATCCTAGCAAATGGGGGATCAATCTACACTCTTCTCTGCACTCAGGCATCTGTGAAAGGAAAGGCAGATGCTGATGGTGCTCTCAAAAAAGTTTGGATTTTTCGGTGTTACGGTTTAATCTTCTGTTAAGCTGTTGTTAATTTACAACTGTTGTTACGTGTAAAGTACCATGTTATGGAAAAACAAAAACGCTGCATTGAGGTATTACAACAAGATTAAAATTGTGAAAAAATTTGTAATGCCTGTCATGTACTGCTGTTTCTGCTATATTATGAAACAAAAAAAAAAAAAAAAGTTCCCAACATCTTTTGTCGTGTAAAACATAGTATTTGCAAGTGAACCTTGTTAATGACAAAAATTACTCCCTCTGGTCCTTAAAATAAGACATTTTAATTTATCTTAAGTTTTACCTAATACACACATATTTAATTGATAAAAAAATCTTAAAAGTATATTTTCACATTACTAGTGTTCTCTTGATTGTTATAAAATCTTTTAAAGATTTTTTTGACAATAAAAAATGAGTATTAGGTGAAATTTAGGAAAAATTAAAATGCCTTATAATAAGGATCGGAGTAAGAAGCACCCCCAGAATAACATTTCGCCTCTTAGTCTTGAGATACATTAGCACTTATCAGTTTGATCCCATTAAATTTAAAAGCACTGCCCAGAAAGCCACAGCAAAAAGCAGAGGAAAATCAATAACTCACAGGCTAAGCACTCTGTCCGGTTTAACAAAAACCAGATAAAAGGGGTAAGTTATGGAGATGCGGGGTATCGATCCCCGTACCTCTCGCATGCTAAGCGAGCGCTCTACCATCTGAGCTACATCCCCATACGAAATACAAGTTGTCAAAATTGAAAAATTCTAAAAAACGTTGACCTCCTAAGGACATAACGATTCCATTTTAACCAAATTCTTGCTACAACCAAGCCGTTAACATCCAAACTTTAACTATGCAAACCCTTCCCCTTCGTTTCAATTGTCATTTGATCTTCCTTAACTAGTAATATAAATATGCATAGCGGAATTAGTATTTTTGTTCATTCGCATTCTTATCAATCTTATCTTTCACCAAATTAATATGATTTGCTCCATCTCATAACTTATAATAAAAATAATTTTGATTATATAATGAATATTATGTTTATTAAATATATACAGTGAGTGAATTAAGCAGTGAAAAATGTCGTATCAGGCGCTATTTCACGTTGTAAAAGCACATTATATTGTTTGCATGTAACATGATGAACACTCAACAGTGCTATATTTCCCAGAAAAAGGAAAATTTACTATCCTTTTCAGACCTCTTTGCAGACAATATTGGACCATATTTGAACCTCTACAGGCTTGCAATTTCTAAATCGGAATAAATGAAACTGAACTAAAAGGCTCACATAGAATACAAATCTAAAAAGAAGGAAAAAACCGTTATACTATAACAAAACATCGCCCATGCTAAATAAAATATACTCGTTAAGAGTGTTGAATTTCATACGATGCAACATTTTTTTGGTTCTAATTAACGTATGATTCATGGATAAGGAAACAATTACGAAACTATTATAGACATTATCAAAAATTATGAAGGCTTTCACAACTCAGAATCACTGTCTAGCATATACACATTGTAAAGTTTTCAAATTCAAAGTCTTACTCAAGGACCGAAGCATCAAACACTTCTGCTGGGAAACATATGTACATCAACCCAAAACAAGTAAAAAAGCCAAAGAATAAGGAAGCACCAATATTGAAGTTCACGTGGCATTGATGACCCAAATGACAAATTGAAAAGTGACCATAATAAGATCAGATTTAATGCAGGTGAACCAAGAAAAAAAAAGAATATGATTGGAAGCAGAAACATTGGTCCTCCTCGAATCTAGAAAGCGAAAAGGAATTAATCTAGAACTTCTGAAAGGAGGTTCTCTTAATTAAAAACACAAAAGAAAATCGACATGAAACTAACAAAAAAAAAAAACTCTACCAATGTGATGGAGATAAACAGAAAGAAAACCATACATAAAATGGTAAATAATAATAATCAAGAAGAACCCATAATCCATGATCACCATCTCTAAATCTCTTAACCCTATACAAATCTCATTAATTCCTTCTTCTTCTTCTTCTACCTACCAACTCACTGCAATATTAATTAATTTTTCCCAGAATGGTTGTGTTTATGATTGATCTTGAGGAGTCTTCTTAGCAGAATTCTTGTTATTATGCATCCAAACCTTAAAAACTTGCCGTTTCACCCCAACTTCAGCACAAAACCTCTGAACTTCAGTATCATCTTCCCTAGGGATCCTCCACCCAAGCTTGTCAGCAAATGCCAGCATTTTCTCCTTCTGATCTGTAGAAAACTTAGTCCTAAACCTCTTCTTAGCAAGAACGAATTGGGGTGGCGGAGGAATTGAAGTTGACTGATAAGCGTTGAAATTCAGCTCCTCACTTGAAGAATCTGTAGCTGCACTTGCACTTCCACCTCCTCCTCCGCCGGAGCCGCCGAAGGCCATCTTCACCGGCTGAACCATAGTAGTAGTCCAGTGATGCTCTCCTCCTCCTCCTCCGCGATGGTTCATGGAGGGCGACGGAAGCGGCGGAGGGAGCTGAAGCTGGTGCACCACGATGGCGGCGGAGGAGTTCTCGCCGCTGATTTCTTTACGGTGGAAGTTGCGGTGGCACTGGCAGGCGGCGCATTTGAAGGCTTCAAGGCTTCCTTCTTCACCGCCGGGCATGAATTCGCCGCATCCGTCCGTCACGTTTCCGCCGATGCTGGCAGCGTGGTTCTTCAGGCATTCTCGGTACCTTACATTACTACTATTGTTACTCCTTCCAAAGGGAGATGAGGATTTGGGCTTAGATCCACCGGAATTCAGTGCATTTGTTGCGCTGTTTCCAAGGGGCCGGATTTTGGGTTCCTGGATGAGTTGTTGCTGTTCCGGCTGGGCTTGAATGTGATGGTGGTGGTTATGGGTATTATGGTCTAGGTTATCAAGTGAGTCAAAGCCTAATGAACCTGGCATTCTCATATCTTTCTCTTCTCCAGTTAAAGCCATTTCTTCTGGAGGATTAATTACTTCTGAAACAAACACAACTGTACTATTCAACTTTCACAACTTCAATTATTGGACAATCTGGTGGTCTTAAATGATCTATCCTAGGAGAAAATCAATCTACTCTTAGGTGGAAAACTAGCTAGCTAGAACTAATAATCTTCAAAAGCAAAAGCTTTTATTTTTCTGAAGCTAATTTTCAGAAAAAAAAATTCAACAGCTTTGGTTTGAGATGAGTGAGAGAATCAAAGATCTATAAGTGATAACGAGAGGAGATGGAAGAGGAGGGGTCATCTAAATCTTTTTTCTTTTGTTTCTCTCTTCTCTTTTATTTCCTGGGGTTGGGGTTTAAACTTTAAAAGAAAGAAAACAAAAGAGCTAAGAAAAAAGAAACACACACACAAAATGGGGCCCTGAATCTATACCTTAAGAGAAAAACCAAACACCAGCATCTCCACCACCTTAGGAACTCATCAACTCATCCAGTTTGGTTTCATGTCTCCGAATCTTAAAACAAAAAAAAAGGAGTTCAGAAAGGAAATAGAAAAAAAAAGAAAAAAGAAGAAGATAAGGATAATAGGAAGAAGAAGAAGAAGAAAACTAAAAAAAGGGTTTAAACTAAAAGAGATAAGAAGATGAGAGGCAAAATATTTAAAAGGGAAAGCATTGAAGAAAGATAATGAATTGAAGGTGGTGGTGGGGTGGAAGAAGGAGGACTGGGGGAGTTTTGTGTTTCAGTGGTTCCAGCAGGCCAACTATGTAAGCAACAAGAGACAGCTTGGTTGCTTGAGATGAAGCTAAGGTTGAAAAGAAAGGAGAGGAGTTTTTTTTTTTTTCTTTTTCTTTTCAAAGTGGAAAACAACTGAGTGAATGAATAGAAAGAAAATTTTGAGATTAAGAAGAAGAACAACAACAACAAAATGAACAAACAAACAACCAAAACTGAGAGCATAAAAACAACCGACAGAGTCATGTTCGTCCTCTCCCACGCCCTGCCAACTTGGTCCCATTCCCCTTCCCCTCTCTCATTATTGCCCCTTTTTTTTCTACTACAAATTTTTTTTCCTCCTCTTATCTCTTTTTTCTTTCTTTCTTTCTTTCTTTCTTTTGCCAGTCGTACTTACACACACACACACACTCACTCACGTAGTAGGAGTAAGCCTACTCTCCTCCCCAATTTGACGCAAAAACGGACCTCGTTTTGATATCATTGTTTCCTGTCTTTCTGATTGCGCGTTAGATTTTGCTTTTGATGATTTTTTGATCCTCTCATCTTAATCATTTTGGGTTTTAGCTTAAACTGTCATCATGCAAAGGCGAAACCTCCTGCTTAGTGCTCTAAATTGTTGTTATTTATACGGTTTGATTGTACCATTAAGCTCCACCCTCTCTCTCTCCCCCTCCCTTCAGGTTGAGTTTTAATCATAGAAAGGTAAAAACTTATGAAAACTGTCAGAAAAAAAAAAAGAAAAAGAAAAGAAATAATAGCATAGAAGAGGAAGAGCGGTTGGTCCACTGTGGTGGACTTGTCTTGTTGTGTAGTAAGTATTTTTTTTTCAATTTTGTGGTACGTTATACACGCACTTACATATTGTTATTTTATGTGATCTCACTTCAATTATATGTAATACTACGTACTAGTACTACTACTTACAACTAGTTTTCAAGATCTTTTGAATAATTTCACATATTTATTACTATTCTTTATCTTTAGGTAGCTCGAATATGTACTTGGTTGCTTTTGAGCCACTGTTTTTTTTTTTAACGAGGTCAAAATGGTGCAATTAATAACTATTTGAATTAATTTGATGAACGGGCTACATAATAGTAGACTTTGTTTGAAAGATTTGTTATTATCATACACGAGTTTTGAATGATAACGTTAGTGATCTCTCTTATATATATTATTACATAACTAAGTTATTATCGATCAGGTTTATAGGCTCGACTGGAGATTATAAACTAGATTTTACATGGTCACAAAAATACGAAACCCTATTTGATTTCAATATAATATGATACGAGTTTGGTATACGTTCAAATTATAGTGATAATATGTTAGAAGACCTTATGTTTTTAAAAAGGAAAAGAAAATACGAGAATGAATATATTCTACAACCATACTACTATGTAATTATCTAAAGCTAGCTAGCTGTTGGATATATGAATCCGTGTGTGACTTTTCTTACTTGTGTCGTAGTAGAGAGAGAGAGAGAGAGAGGAGCAGATGGATGCTGCAAAATCTCTGCCAACTCCATGCTTTCCCCAAGCAAACGTCTTTACCTTTCCTGTGATGTAATCGATGCTTTTTTCTTTCTTTGCTTTTCTTTAGTTTACCCTCTCTTCTTCTTCTCCTTCTTTTTTCTTTGTTTCTCTCTCTCTCTTTCTCTTTCTATCTCTGTCCATGCCTCTGCCTGGGCTAATACTGTGAATCTCTGTGACTCTGTGTGTGTGTGTGAGATGGTGCTTTGGTACTTGGTTAGGTTACTGCATAACCCCCTAGTGGTACTGCGCAGCAAACTGACCAATAGCATTCCATTTTCTGAATTCCCCCCTGGAATCATATCTACATTCTCTCCTTATCTTCTTAATTACACCATCTATTATAATGTATCCCTCTTGGAAAAATATTTCGATTTATATCAAACTTAAGTGAATTATTGTTCTTAAACATAATATACATATATATATATATACACACACACATATGATACGTATTCAGTGCTAGTGATCAATATGTTCACCGAGTATAATTTTTTTTAGGACGGAAAGTATATATATTAAGTCCAACTATACGACGAAAAATGAATTTATTTTTTTATTTTGAAAATACTATATACACACACACACAGCGGAAATTGCAACACACCTCTTAATTTGAAAATACAGAATTTAATTCATAGCTGAGATTTTCAACGCACATGTTAATTCATGATTTGTACGAAGATGAGGTGATCAAATGTCTGCATTTTTTTCTCTATCGGGTTTTATATTTGGATGAGTTATTAGAAGAAGCAATTTAGTTTGGGACTTTTGCTGTGGTCATGTAGCACAGTCTGTCTGACAATGGCTCAATGGATTAAAAAAGGAAAGTACAGTATCTACTACTATCAAGTTATTGTGCTGTTGTAGTTAGATTGGACGAAACTTTCTTCTTCGTTTTTTTTAACAAAGGTGAAAAGAAGTGAAAACTGCAAATAGATGGAAATAGAGATTTTTGCACGTGATTTAGTACTTTTCCTCTAAAAACAATATCTTACTAATTGTATGTACCATCACATTCAGATTATTAAAACATCTAAAATTAAAAGATCAAAATTTACGATATTTAATTTGCCTCCATCCCAAATTTGAGACTTGATAGAGGTGTGGTACCACTCACACATCGATCATTTGTGCAAATTCACTTTCATGTATTTTGTCTAAAGCAATAATGGCGTTGATTTGAAAAATGTTACTTCCCCCATCTTATAAACATAGTTTAAATTGTATATTGTAATTCCTCTCTTCTATTTAGAAGGCATTAGTAATCATATCATCAAAATCAATAAAAAAAATAAGTTTATATAGTTGTTTGTTTAAAAAATATATTAAATTATGTATACTATTACTATCCAATTTTAATATATCTTTTTTTTATTGAAAAATTGGTTAGCCATGATATTATTAAATTATAGAATAGATAAATTTGAAAAAATACAATAAACAAATTTAAGATCGAGCATACACTTCAAGAAAAAACATTATCTGCAAGCCCGGAGGAAGTACGTTTTCTATTTCATTATAGTCCCCAAATGATATAAAGCCGCTTGATGATCATATTATAAACTCGTCAACAACGTAGATAGAACTAACAAGCAATGACTCAAAACATGAAAATGAAAGGTATTATATTGTTACACAGAGACATTAGTGAACGTCCGTGAAGAAATTTGAGACTAATTTCGTAACGAAAACTCCCTAACTTACATCTATATGGAAAATGAGATTTTTAGGCTTGATTAGCATTCATCCTTAATTTCTAAGGTCAATAAATCGTGAAACTCTTCCTAGCAACACCTACTATCTTTTCAATTATCTAATTTAAATTTTTATTTTTTATACAGGTTATACTAAAAATAAAATTTAGAGAAATTATTTTAGGATTAATAGAGTATGTGACAGTAAGTTTAGATTTATTAATTTAAACGAAACCTATTGTCAATCTTGATCAAACATAGAAAATAAATTATGAGACTTGAGGGTGTATCTTTGAAACTTCTCTCACAGAAAATAAATAAATAAAATCTTATAATGAGGGACCGAAAGTCCTCTTGAGGACAGTATAAAATGAGAACATATGCAAATTCCCACGATCGAGGACTAGCAAAACTGCAAAACACAAAATTAATACTCTCTCCATTTTAAAATAGTTATTTTGTTTGTATTATTATTTTAGTTAAAATTATAATACACGTAAGGGTTCCAAAAAGAACAATTTTTTTGTGATGGAAGTATAAAAAAAAATTAAAAAAAAAAAATTTCTATAGAAAAGAAAAAAGGAAGAAGGAATTTGAGCTAATGCTGCCACATTCAAAGACTACTATTAGAATTCAACACTACTCAAAAAGAGAGTTTTATTAAAAAAAGCTATTTGTATTTTTATTTCCATCTGGAAATATTCGTAATACATTACTAATTAATCGGGGGAGGGGTAATTAGGGTACTTGACTTCCAAGTAACATAGCGTGGCTTCCAATTAATACGTTATTAGGATGTGATAAAATGAAATTTACTGTCTAGCTTTACGGAGAGGATTTCCGTCATATTTATTGTATCCATGACTTTTCCTACTATATAATAGTATCACAATTGCCAAAACTATTCAGGAAAAAAAAATGTAATACTTTAAAGCCTTTAATTACTAATTAGTAGTAATAGCAAATATCTATTCGGGAGGAGGTAAATATTTACTATATTCCTTTTTCGTGGTATCCTAATGTATTCCAAATTACATTCGGAAAAGGAAATTATTTTTTTTTTAGTTTTTTTTTAAAAAAAGGCAACAACGAATTATTCGTCCCGCCGCCTTAAAACAAACATCCCCACCGTGGCACCGCCATATACTAAACCAGTATTCCCCCAAACGTATATAATGCGAATAAAGAGGCGAAAATTGAACCCGGAGGATCATCAAATTATTACGAGGTACGCAGCGCAGGAGAGAAAGATGGTAATGGAATTGAAGGAGGATTGTTGTGGGATTGAATTGGGAAATCTCTGCCTACAAGTCATATATTCCATCTTCTCTAAAATCCCTGTAAAATCCCTCACCAAATTGAAGTGCGTTTCCAGGACCTGGCGCGATTTCATCAACGAATTCCGCCGATTCCACCGTCCGGCCACCGCCTCCGGCCTCGTGCTCCTCTCCTCCAACCATCCCGCCGTTCAAGAATCGATCTTTATCAAAGCCCACGAACAGCATTGCCGGTGGCTTGCCGGGTTCGAAGAAACAGAGTTCTATCGCCGCATCAAGCTCCGGCTACACCTGATCGATTCTCGTTGTGGGTTGCTTCTTTACGGCACAAGCGATTCTCAATTCTGGACTTACTACGTTTTCAACCCTTTACTTGATCAGTTCTTGCCTCTCCCTCGGGTGCACGAAGCGAAACGATTAGCCTGCGCCAGTCTTGTGTTTGATGAATCCTGTCACAAGAACTTTAAGGTGATTTGTGCTTTCTTGGAAGAGATTGATGTTATGAAGGACTCAATGCGGTGTAAAATCTTCTGTTCTAAGAAAAGGGAATGGAGAGAAATGGAAGCAAGATTATTCAACCTTCATCTGGCTAAAGGGTTCTTCAACAAACAGTTAATTGGTCCAAGTGCTTTTTCCAGAGGAAGATTGTACTGGATTTGGAGTCTTTGTATGTTGGTTTTTGACAGTGAGGAAGAATTCTTCAAGCTTATTCCTTTACCATCAAAAGCAGCTCATCAGAGTGAACGCAATTCGCGGAATTCGTTGTCTCAATTCTTGTGGGAATCAGAGGATCAGATTTACTTTTGTTTTCAGCTCAAAGAGTTGCTCTGTATCTTCAAATTTACTGGAGCTGATCATCTTCTGTTTAAAGATGATGATTATAATAGCATGGATTCTGGGTTGTGGGGATTCCACCGGTCTGTTAATCTGCAAGAAATTACCGTCCGGGAAGTCGGTCTTTTAGGTGACGGAAAATTATTCAGAGCTCGGCACACATTAATCAGGCCTTGTGGTTTCAATCAAGATTTGCAGTTATTGTTTCTGTATGTGCCGCCTGAGAGGATTGTTTCTTACAGTTTGGAAACCGAAGAATTTGAGCCAGTTTGGTGTTGTCGAGAGTTGGAAACTTGTAATTCTTCAAACATTGTGCAAGTTCTGCCATTTTTGTTCAAATCTGTCCATCTGTTCACTTAGTCAGAGAAAATTATATAGATCGTTTTCATGAGTTTGTTAATTAGTAGGATTAGTTTTGTATGTGCATTAATACTGCATAGACTTCAGATATACCATGTATTATTCCCTTACTGAAATGTCTCATTGGCTTTTTTTGGTTTTTTAGACATGAAATTCTCTCTTTCGGAAACTAGTTAAATAGTATGGGGCGAAATAATGAAACTATTGTAATGAAACTATGTTCTTGCAATGACTGTGCCAATGGTGTTAACAGAAAAAGAACATTACTAATGACTGCCAATTAGTAATGAGATCAATCAACATGATTGTGGGGTTATTGCATCCACGAATTATGATAGTTTCGTATTCTAGTAGTTTAGGCTTTAGCCTCCTTCCTTCGAAAAAAAATAAATAAATAAATAAATGATTGTAGGGTTATTCCATGATTTCAACCTATAATGAAATTCTCTCTTTCGAAAACTAGTTACATAGAGCGAAATAATTATGACATTATTGTAATGCAATCCATAGTACTTACTTAAAACAGCAAACATTTGGGACACGTGTCAACTCAAGAATGAAAATTTTCCCTCCAAAACTTTTACAGTACAAATAAGAAGCTATATATATTTGACATGTGACTTCTTCTATGCATAGGAAAAATTACAGCCGCAATAATGCATCCTACGTTTTTATAGTATGTGGTTATTATCCGATTGTTACATCTGGTTTGAATTTGAAAATACTTATTCAAAGTAAAAAAAAAAAAAAGCACATAATCCCTCAATTTAAGGCAGTTTACTATTACAGTTATTTGTGATAAAATCATCAACATAATGGCTCCACAAAATAAGTCGTGTAGATCAATTATCCCTGTGATCCAGTGAGAGTAAATTTCTCTTCCAAAAAATCAGTCCGTGAAAGTAACCATCCCTGTAAATCATCCCAACAACCAGAATCAAATAAAGATCAAGATATCAATCAAATAGTCTTTTATTCCAACTATTACTCTATTCACAGTATTTCTTCCATCAATTTATCAATCAACATTAAACAATTAGTTGATTAGAACATGTTCTATAATTTAGTCATACAATAGTGACGTTTTAATCTGATTTCAAAATCAAAATCAAAATCCTTCCCATATAAGTCTCATAACCGTCTATATCTTGGCTAACAACTTCAAGAACATCTCAAAACATCGAAATCCTATCCATATAATTCTCAGTACCAATCCTGCAGTATTATACCTCTATAAATACAGATACAGTCAACACAAATTCAGCACCAAGAAACTCATTCAATACCCAGAAATCATACCTGCAAAAGCCTTTTTTCTCATTTGTTTCTATGGCTCCTGAACTAAAACCAGTCAAGGCTGTTGTTGCTTCTTCTCATGTTGCTAAAGGTGTCAATACTCCTGTATCACCAACCAAAGATGTTGATGATGGAAACGTCACTGCTCGATCTGATCCTGCTATTATTTCATCTGCAAGTGAAACTTTTGCCCTCGATGTTCCAATAGTTAACATTGTTGTATCTCCAACCAATTATGCTGATTATGGAAACGCCACTGTTCCATCTGATGCTGCTATTAATCCATCTGTAAATGTTGCTCCTGCCCCAACTGTTCCAATTCTTGTAGCACAGAGGTACATTGCTGACATCAATGGCCTCATTCATACAAAAAGCATCCCTTTCATCATTGTTGTTCGTGTTATGACACTATGCAAAGTTCCAGAAAGTTCAAAGAGCAACAAAGTTAATCCGATGGAGATGCCGCTGGTTGATGCTCATGTATTTTAAAAAGTGATTTCATAATATATTTATAGTATAACATCCTATTGGAGTCTGATCATTTTTAATAGCATTATTATGACTGAACATTTGGTGCTATATAGGGTAGTAAAATTCAGGCTACCATACTTGGTCGATATGTGAAAGATTTCGTGGATTTCTTCAGAGAAGGTTGTATAAGAAGGCTGTCACGATTTAATCATGCTCTGAACATAAGTGGTGGATTCCGATGTGCTAAACACGAGTACAAAATTGTATTCGAATCAAACACATTAGTTGACTCTGTGATTGATTTTGACATTGACATTCCCTTTCATGTCTTTGAGTTTACACCCTTTGCAGAAGTGACGAATTTCGTGGCTAACTTTGATTATTGTTTTGGTAAGAAAACTCTAATTTTATGAATCATACAAATATGTATTATATTTAAAATGGAAGCATATTACTTTATTACTTAAAATTTTAATTTCCCAATTGAACTTTCAGATCTGATAGGACACCTTATTGCATACAGCGATCCTATTGTTGACTACGGCAAAAAGAGAATTTCTGTGGAGCTTGAAGATGAAAGGTAAACAAATGTGTAATGAATTCATTGAGTAAATTACTGTCGTAATATATTCTTTTATGGATCTCAATAGCTGACTTTTTACTTTTATGGGATAAAGGGCTGACATGCTTAAGGTAACTCCGTGGGGTGAACATGCTGACAGAGTTATTAACTACATGGCAATAAACCTACTTATCCTATTGTGCTAATTGTTTAATATGTTAAGTGCAAGAAGTATTACTGTAAGTAACCTAATCTTTACTGTCATATTAGCAAGTTACGTTAAATCTGTCTTTTTTAGGTTAGTTTTTATAGCTAAAATCATTTCATGCAACAGCAAAAGCTTCTGTCACTACAAACCTGTTGAATGGCATAATTTATCTTGCTGATATGACCATGCCTGACATTTCTGGTTATAAAGACAGGTATATTTAACAACAATTTATATTATCCATTAGTTTAAGGTATATGATCGTTATAAACTTATGGCTAATTAAGTTTATGGTTATGTTATGTTAGAGCATTTGATGATGAAATCAAACAAGCAAGCATTCAAAAAATATCCCTGATGTCATCTATATCTAGATACACAACTTATGAAGATTTCATAAGTGGCACAAGCCTGTTATCATTGACTGACATTGAAGACGTGGATGAGGTATTAACAGCCTTGCAAAAGTCCAATTTCAGTCCATTATTTTAATTTTTTTTGTTTTATATCTAACCTTGAAAACTTATTATTCTTACAGCCTGGCTATGTTGTGATTTTTGCTAAAATCACTGGATTAACAAAAGAGTTTGATTGGCCATATATAAGTTGCAGAGATTGCAACAAAAAGTCGAAGAAATTGAGAATGTTAGAGGTAAAAAACCTATCAGTCAAAAGACTGATGTACATTCAGGAAGAGGGAGGAATGTTGATGGCCAGAAGAAGCTAACAGTTGAGAAAAAATGGATGTGTGATAACCTTGGCCCAGTTTCTGCTGTTGGACCAAAGTACATTCTATTGAACTTTACTTTTAAGTCTAGAATTGTTAAAATAATATATATTTAACATTATTATTTTACGCTAAGTTTTGTTTCTATGTTTATATGAACAGGTTCAAACTTCAGGTGTATGTCAGGGATGATTCTGGAAGCAGAATCGTGACATTGTGGGACATGATGGTGTACAATTTCATCAATAAGACTGCTAAAAATCTACGTGAGCAGGTATAGTATACTTTGTGTTTTTTTTTTATTATTTAAATATGTATATATTGAATTCAAGCTTACATTAGTGTAAATTAATAGAATGTTTAAATTAATGTCTTAATGTTACAGGAGGGGAAGGACTACCCTAAAGTATTGGATGAATTGGTTGGAAAGAAATGTCTGTTCAAGCTGGATGTGTCCAATTTCAACATACAGAATAGTAACCGTGAGATCTCAGGTACTAGAGTGATTATCGAATCAGACATTATTAAGAAATATCTGAATGATGTCTCTGAAGATCATATTTAATCCGCATTTTATTTACACATTCTTGTATACATCAATTTATTTTTTAATATGTTGTCAAGCAATATCCAGTACATTTTACTTTATGCAAACTAAATATCAGGAAATTGATCCTGAGATGAGTACAGAATTTTACCAAAATTTAACACCTACTCAGGATAGCACTGGTAAGGTATTTTTTACATCATTTAGATTGTGTGACACAAAACCCAACGCATCATTATGTAAATAAGTAATTACATGTTAGTAGTACTTACATTTGCAATTGAATGCAGACTGCCATTTCCTGCACTGATGACGCATATATGGGATTTTCGGGAGATGACATGGCAGACAGTCCTCCTCCAAAGAATAAGATAGCAGCAAGTGGCTATGAAGAGTGTCAAATCCAATGCCAACAAGCGTGCCAGGAAGCTGTGATGATGATAAAGTCAGAGTCAATTTTCTATTTCAGATAATAAAGAAACACTTTACTATGTTAATCTGTTCCATCAGTTGAATTTTCTCTTTGATTACACGAATGGGTCGTTACATCATTGAAGGGAAAGTGATATCTGGAAGTAAAATTTATGATATTGTACATATTCCACGGATGAAAATTATTCCAACTGATAATACTATCCCATTCAAAATGAAGAGGAGACAGTTTCCTATAAAAGTATGTTTCGCTATGACTATTAATAAAAGTCAAGGTCAGTCTCTTTCTACTGTCGGACTCTACCTACCACGACCTGTATTCAGTCACGGTCAGCTATATGTAACACTCTCAAGAGTAACATCTAAGAAAGGTTTGAAAGTGTTGAACCGTAACCCTGATGGAACTCGGTCCAATTCTACAACTAATGTCGTTTACAAGGAGGCTCTAAGGAATGTTAGATAGTGTATACTGATTCTCATAGAAAATACTGATCTACATTACCATGAGAATCAGTATACACTATCTAACAGTCCTTAGAGCCTCCTTGTAAACGACATTAGTTGTAGAATTGGACCGAGTTCCATCAGGGTTACAGTTCAACTTACATTTCATTTTGCCACTTAAAAGTAGAAAGTGTTTCAAATTGAAAACTAAATGGGAAATAAAAATGTTATTTAGATGGTATTTTGAGCAAAAAGTTGTTTGGATGTTGGTTTTGAAAAAAAAGTATTTTGAACTACATTTTGAAATATCAAGTACGAGTCATCACTAAATAATTAAATAATGTCAATTATAGTCACTGCAAAAAAGAAATTTTCAAAAACAATCACTCAACAACGGAATCCTGCAAAATTTTTCACTGAACTATTTGTAGTTCTAAAATGGTCATTACACTAATAAAAAGTGTTTCAAGTTGGAATTTAAAATGTTAATCAGAAAGTTGTTTGGATGATATTTTCTTTTCCATTGGGTTTTGTGTTTAAGAAGTAAAATGAGTCAAAATGTAAAATGAGTTAATAGCCAAACAAACACTAAATGTGAATCTATGCTATATATAGTCTTGAAGATTAGGGCTAATGTCTCTAGGAAATTCTCAAAATACCCCTGGACAACACATTAATTATACATAAACGGATAACCTGGGTAACCCGACGGATTGACCCGAACCCGACCCGTATAATAAACAGGTCAACCCTAACATGACCTGATTATTATACGGGTCCAAAATTTTAACCCGAATCCATTTATTTCAAGTCATGTCAGGGATTGTCAGGCCTACTCCCGCCCCACCAGGGTCGGTCCTGAATGGGAGCGAAAGGGGCGACCGCCAAGGGCCCAAGAGTGAAATAGGCCCCAAATGATTATAAATTTTGGGTGGAGTAAGTTTAATTAATGGGCTGGTTCTGTTTATATATATATATATATATATATATATATATTGGTTTTCTTGTTTTCCATTACAAATATGACATCAAATAAAAAATAAGCCATTCGTTGATTTTTTTTCTTTGATTTCTTTTAGTTGTTAAAATTTCCGTGGCACAATATAAAAAACAGAAAAATGCTTTTAAAAGTATATAAAAATATTCCACAGCAAAGCTCGAAAGGAAAAACTCGATAAATTAATAAGAAAATAATTATTAACCTTTTTAAATAATAATTTTTCCAATTCCAACTCGAAATCAGTACAATAAATGAAAAAACTCGAATAATTTATAAAATAATAATTTTTCAAGATCTTCAATATAAATATAGTTTCTTACAATTTTCCAAATTAATAAATACCTAAAATAAAAAATTACATTTGAACATTTACTTAGATTTTAACTCAACTATTTTTATGTTTGCAATTATCATTTTTTTTGCTCTATTATGAAAATTATAATAATATAAATAGAGTTACAATCAACTGTTTTTATTGTGAAAGTAATTATCTTTTGTAATTTGTTTATTAATAGTATTGAAAAAAAATCTTTAAATTAATAAATTATTGATAAATTAGTAAAACATTAGGGGTTTAAATATATTAATTTATATAAATTCTACAGTATATATTGTGATAAATATCTAATAGTGCGGATGTTCACAAGACATCATAGTTATACGAGAAAACAAATGTATAGAGATATTTAGTAAGGTCTTACCATAGTCAGATTTTATCGTTGTTTACTCTGATCTATATATCTATTTTGTTTATAAAAGGAGATGAGTTTCAAAAGATTAATACACAGATAAATTCTCTCTTTCTCTTTGAACATATTCTCTCGCTAATTTTTTTTTTCTCTACAGTTCTATAACTTTTGTTTTTTGAATTTATTTTATAATATATATACGGCCCAAAGTTTTGTTTTGTTCTGGGGCCTCTTAAATGTTAAAACTGGCCTTGTCCCCCACCAAAGAAGATTGGCGTCGAAGTGGAGGTCAAAAGGGGGCAAGGGCAACGAAAGGTCAACCCATCGGGGACTTCAACAGCATCTTCCCCATCAGTGAATTTCCTTTGTAATTACTACAGTATGAACGTTAATTGATTTGGTTTGACATGGTTCGGAGATCAGAGTTGGCTCTAGGAAGGCTCCTAAAGCTAAGGCTTTAGGTATCATATTAGTTAGGGCTTATTTTTTAGAATTTTATTTATTATAGTTATTTTCTTAAATTATTTTATAATAATTGTTGAAAAGATAATTAAAAAAATTATACTAATATAAATATTTTGATATGCAATGCATGTTACATTTTAGTTATTTCATAAAATTATTTGTATCGAAATTTTAAAATGTTTTAATAAAAATTTTATTTATTTAAATCCGACTACTAAAGGGTCCCAAATAAAAATGTTTCTTGAGGCCTCCTTATGTGTTGAGCCTGTTCTGTTGGAGATTCAAAGACAATTGCGATATTTTGGTACTTGCTTTTCCTGCTCCGATTAATTTTTGGTTTAGCTGTCGATTTTGCATGCTATTAGTCATTTGGTAGCTGATCTTGAAAAAATACCCTCATTAAGGGGAATAATTTAGGATGGAATACATTGTCATTCGGTGAACAAACCAAGGGCGTTTGTGGTGAAGGGATTGATTTCAAAAATGGGTCTTCTAATTTGGACGTTTGTGACTTTTGCTACCCTAAATTGAAAATTTTCAATTGTGGTTCTCAAACTTTCAAGACCTTGCCGATTTGGTTTGTCATTTTGAGTCCTCCCATTCTTTTGCCAAGAATGTCACTCGCGTGGCGTCAGCATGTTTGCATCCAGGGGTATTTTGTTTTATACTCTCCCCTTTCATCAAAATAGTGTATGTTGTAAATATTAAATTGTACAGTCTTCAGTAGTATAAATAATTTACCATTTACATTGTCGAGTATTTGTGGAATAGAGCCATAGAGGGATTACTAAATAAGCAACTTCCACTAGGATGTGATTTTGATTTCTAAATGTCAAAAGTCTATAGAACTATAGAACTGTTTTAACAATGGCCCTAAGTATTCGGTGTTTGTACTGTTGCGTGTACAAGCAACACGGCTGTGAAACCATTTTAGTTTACTATATTACAACCAGAAGGAAGAAATAAAAAATCACATTTTCAGAATTAGTTGTCTGTGCATTCTCATTCCACAGTCCTGAAAATTCTGGTTGAGGTGGAATGGGCGATTCTGTCAAGGGATGCGCAACCACAGCATGTCCAAAATTTTCATTCCACAGGACATCATACACCAAATCAAGACAAAATTTTTCAGACCATACAACAAGCTTCAACCAGCAAATTCAGGGTCGCCATTCGGTCTTCTGTGCACAGAGAATACCTTCCTTGCCCTTCGCAAATGTCAAACGAATCTCCCAGTGCAAGCTCCTCAATATTCTTTCGAGCGGGTCAAGAATCTCTACCTTGTCCCGTATGATTGCCCAACCACCAGGCCGTAGTATACGGTCCATCTCAACGACAATGACAATGGGTTGCTTACACCTGCAGCGAGATGTTTTCATAAAATCAGGTTTATCTCCATCAAGAAGAAAGTATGTCATCAGGAAGCGACAAGGTCAACGGTGCCCTTTCGCACAGCAGTAACAGCTGCTGCCATGTGACCCGAATTTGAGGTAAGAATTTCTGAAACAGGTTCTTATAAAAATATCACGACTGCCTTTACCACAAAGCAAAACTATGTCACTAGATATTATGACATAGTCAAACAGTAGATTCATAAAAAGGCAAAAAAGCAATAGTACAATAGAATAGCAAAACTCAAGAATAATTGTGTCAACCTGTTTTTGAGCCTAGAGAAGAGATGATCCGCATGCAGCAGATCGTATGATCTCGGATAAGTTCCAAAAGATTCACACCAGTCATGATAAATACCAATGAGGCCGCGTTCGTATATTGTGGGAAGTGTATCTGGTGCATGCACAGGGACTACATTCATCACCCAGACATTTTGTTGTGACAAAGCAGCTGCAAATCTGTCATCATGAATAGCCATCAGAGACAACATTTTCTTTTGAGCAACAAATCTTCATTACAACCATCAAGTAAAGAGAAGAACCTCAGACTACACAAAGCACTTAAATACTTATGAAGTTTATAACTGAGGCTTCCTTCTGTCCATTCGAAAAACCCAAGAAAATTCATAATTTAAAGCAACAGAAACCTTCTAGGTCTTGCATAGCATACCCTCCATAGATGGTTTTCATGTCCATTACATTCCGCACAGTTGTCCAGTTGATTCCCATTCCATTTAGATAGGAGTTGTTTACAATTGATTTCCAGTGCTCATTTTCAGCAATCAATTTCTCTTTATTGTTAATCCAGTCAGGAAAAGATTCAAGCCTCTTAGGCCATTCCTCCGGCCACTCAGTCCCCCTTTCTTCGATTGAAGAAGGAATGGCATGCAAGCATGTCTTGATTGAAACATACCTAGTGCAGAAGAGATGATGAATTAATAAGGACAACTTCTTGATGTGTATATACAGACATGGTGGAAAGATCTTCAAGTGACGACAATCGTCAAGTATGCTGCTCTGTTTCACTTTTCTATCAGTATGTGTTTAATGCATCGTGTTTACCTATACATCCGGTATATCCTATATTGGTTATCTATCCACGCAGCTCAAGTATATATACACGGAGAAACAAAGTCATCGTAGCAGGAAGCTGTGTGAGGTTGAGGTAAAACTTAACATGCATATTGGGTATCAGGTAGGAAAAGATGTATGACGACTCATGTATGTGCAATTATAGAGTAAAGAATTAAAACCAATGCTACATAAGGAGCAATTCGAAGTAGATGATACATGCAAAACTACAAAAATCTTTCCTGTTATCACCCACAGCATACCCCCCAATCCGCAAACCAACACACAAAAACACGAAGCCCAAAAGATGGGATTTCTTTAAGAGCAGGACAATTCGCGCTGCAAAAATCACATCAGAGCAGCTGTTCTACAAAGTAGCTTGCACAACTTACCAAGCAGCATCTGGATTCTCGTTTTCTTTGCACAAAGGTGGAATTTTTTTCCTTCTCAGTACATATATGTCATTTGATTCCGGCTTTTGGAAAATTTTAACACCTACATCACTCACTTCATCGCTTTTATCAGCCAGGATATTCCAACATATAGATGCCGTAAGCTTGGACATAGCTGCAACAGGTGAAGCAAAGAAGTTGCTAAGAAATTACCTACTTCAAATGCAAACTCAAGACTATCATATTGACAACAGCAGTCATGCTTCTGATTTAAAGCAATTCTACAGGCCAGATTGCTACTTCCATATAGTTCTACACTAACAAGACTTAAGTAACAGATCTGCTGTGAGTATAGGAATCTTGGTTATAGCTATTTTGTGGTTACATACTTATTCTGAGAATAAAGGCTGTACATATCAAGAGGGAGTCATGTCTTTTAAGTGACACATAAAATTTACTGCACTAGGAAACTATTTCTGAATACTAATATGGACATGATTTGTCTACTTATATAGGCTAAGCACTTAAAAGTGCATTATCTCAACCTTATATGTAAACAGGTGCAATCAGAACCGATGATTTACATGAATATTTGTATCCCGGTAAGCATAAGCATCTGTTTCTCCAACTAAAATAGATTTGATAAGATTGAGTGCAGATCCAGTAACAGGCTTCAAAAGCTTGCTTAATAACAAAAGCATGTAAAATTTAAAGATAAGAGGGAAAAGATAAACTCTAGAGCAGTCTACTGCTCAACAGAACTGACAATGACAAGAATGAAAAGCTTCCTCTAGAGGGCTTGGGGAAGTTTCTTAAGGGAAAAGGTAATACCTTCTTCCATTTCAATGCTGTTATGTTTGCTTGACAAGATAAAATATCCTCCAGGCCTCAAAATTCTATTAATCTCAAGAAGAAGCTTGCCCCCTGAAAAGAAAACCTTTTAGAGTGTAACCAGGTTGATAACTTTTGATCCAACAAAGAAACAAAACATGATAAAATCGACTTACCATTAGCATGCCAGGATATGCTGCATTCACCACAGTGAATAGCATCAAATACCCCACTAGGAAAGGGAATCCGACGCAATGCAAATGGGCTAACTACCGCTGGGAAACCCCGCTCCAGGGCAAGCTGTGCTAGGTCCACTAGGTCATTTTTTAGACCTAAAGTCAGTACCAGCACATTCTTTTCCAATAAGGAAGCAACAAAGCTTGAATCTGTGCATCCAATATTCAGCACCACTCGAATGTTTTTTCCCCATTCAATGTCGGGCACCATCTACATTATTCAACCAAATCATTCTCAGATCAAGTCCATCACATATTCTCACAGAATGTGAGTCATCTGACAAACTCCAACACAAGTGTAGGAACTCTAATCTTCTAACGAACATAAATGAGACTTGACTGTGAACCTGGCAACTAATACGACATTTTCAGGTTTGACAGTAAAATATGATCCACAATGCACTTATTGACTAAACTTTCACTTGTACGCAAAGTTTCCTAATTACCAAGACCGAAATTCTAAGGAAGTTTCAAATTTAAGGTGCTTATCATTTAAGTAAGATAGTAAAACCTTTCAAACTGGTTATATAAAAACATAAACAAGTCTCTTAAGAGTCTGTTGCCAGGCAGCAGTAGAGCAGTTCTGAGCTCTTTTGGAACATGGAGGAACGATCTGATGTAATAGACACCAAGAGACCCCAAAAGCACGACAAACTTTACTACTAAAAAGCATGACAAACTTTACTACTATTGGAGACAAATTTAGCGGCTCACCTCCTCTACGGATTCTAAATAGTGTTGAATGCCACCCTTTAGTATTGACTGATTCTGGGGGAAAGTGAGATAGTCTCCATCTTCCATCACCCAATCCTGTGACTTGATAAATGCAGCCAACTTTGGATGTGCTACATTCTTATACATTATCTGCAAAAGAAAACGCAAATTAGGAGTAGGAAACCTCAAATAAATTTACCACAAATCAGAGTAAGCAGAGATTGCAGACCTTCAATTTACTCTCTGGCCAGGTTACTGGGGTTCCATAACCATCATGGGGAAGGGGTACAAGACACATAACAGAGGTTTTAGGGCAACTCCTCTCGTGATGCCGATAACCCTGCAGCCTTCCTATGCCACCTTCAATGTCGATACAAGGAATGTAATTATGCTTGCTTCTTGTGGAACACAATTTCCAAGCATATTGCGCATTGGGATCAAATAATGGCCCCAAATTCTTCTTCTTTTTCTTGGAGTTAGCACTATCATCTTCCAGTTTCTCTACATTTTCCTCATCCACATCCAATGTATCACTCAAATCACTACCGCCTTCCTCGGTTCCCTCACCATTCTCCGCCTCGCCTTCCACTTGACCTTCCTCATTTGAATCGTTCCCCTCGCCATTTTCTGTCTCTTCCTCATTTCCATTGACATCCTGTTCTTGCTTTTCATCCTCCAAATTTTCATCCTCAGATCTCTCAGTAGCTCCCTGAGCTTTCTCTTCGTCAACTTCTTTTTTAGGCTTTACTTTATTATTATTATTATCATTTCCGTGCTTCTTCACTTTGGGTACTTTTTTCTGATCTTTGCTTGAGGGCTTCAATGGCGGAGACGCATTAATCCTTTTCTTGTCTTTTCCAGCTTCCGAACTCTGAATCTTCTTCTTCTCTTCCTTACCTCCTTCTTCACCATTATCCCTGATTTCTTTCTTCCTCAATTCAACCCCAGAATGAGCTGTCGTTGTCGTCGGTCGATGCCCAGATACGGGCTCGGCAATATCATCAAAAGTGTCTCTCCGGTCAGTCACAGAAAACGAATTTGGGGAAAACACAGACCAAACAAATACAAAACACAAACCCAAGATCACAACAGCAGTCAACTTAACACCGAACCCAAATGATTTGTATGACTTATAAGAACGTTTAGCCAACCGACCAAACTTCGCAATTGCCATCAATAGTCTCTGTTGCCCGAAGAATAATCATAAAAAGCATATAACTTGCGAGATAGATTGGGAGGAGAAGTAAAATCTAAGAGCCCAAATCAGAAATCAGACAATAAAAAGCAATAAATGGCACTAAGAAAGCGTGGAAGGAAAGTATGATCCAAGTGCAGATTCGAAGAAATGAATGGAACCCAGTATAATCTGGGCAGTAATAATTCGACTACGCAACAATCGGCCGAAGGAATAGCAGTAAAATCCAGTGTAATAAGCAGCCGACATTACTGCGTTCTTACTTCTTACTATTGCCCAATGTCTTCGGAGGTTGTTTTTGCTTCATTCGCACAACAGAGCAGAAATATGATTATGATAATCTTTTGTTTTTTTACTCCTTCCGTCATATTTCCATTTATTTATTTCATTTTTTATATACACGTAAAAGTAAATATTTACAGTACATTGTTTGGTTTAAAATTTTAAAGTAATATTTTTTGTTATATATATTCTTCACTCTTTAGTGTAAAAAAAAAAAATAGTGTGGTAGATTAAAAAATATTTTAATTGAAATTCAATAAAGATACCAATTTTCTGTGACAATTGTATATTAGTAGTAATACTTTAGAAATCTAGATACGGAATCATTAATGATAAGTATTACCAAATTCTGTGACATCTAGGAACTGAACATTATGTCTATTGACTTAACCTACTATCCCGCATTATGTAATGTAATATTCCCTCCGTCCCATATTTATTGTTCACTTTGCCCAAAAAATTTTGTCCCAAAATTATTATCCAATTTGACTTTTTATGGATCAAGTTACACATTTGTCCTTAGTAAAAAATATTATCTATAAAATCTTAGTGGTTAAACAATTACTTATGTAGGGGTATATCCGGTTGTTTAAGATAAAATATAGCTAAGTTTGACCAAAAATAAAATCTTTCATTTTAGTAAAACTGGACAATAATTATGGGACGGAGGGAGTATTTGTTTTGATATAATTTTGCTTCTGCTTTAAAAAAAAAAGAAAAGAAAAGAAAACAAAGTTTTGGAAACTGATAAAGATCTATCAATGATAGGCCACATTATTGAAGATATCAGAAGACTGAAAGAATGTTTTGCTAATTTGGTGATTACATGTTAAGCGAACTTGTAATAAAGCTGCTCATGTAACAGCAAGATTGGCTTTAGAACTTAATAGTAGCTTGTTGTGGTATGATAATTTTCCAAGAGATGTAATGTTTGCTGCTGTAAAACATTTGCTTGAGTAAATAAAGTTGTTTGATTTGATGTCAAAAAAAAATGAAAAAGAAATACGTATTTCTTCAATGAAATAATTTTATATCCTGGTTAAAAATAAAAATTATTAGAAAGTGGCGTTTTCCATGAATAATAAACCAACCAAATTGAAATTTTCTCTAATTTCAGGTTTAAGCGTAGAAATTATTTTAAGTAGTTAAAAGCATGTTTGAGAAGTAAACTGTTCTTCCTTTACTAGTATTATTCCCGTACGTTGTATGGCGAGCGTTCGATATTATATTCTTAAGGATTTCCTTATAAACCACATTTATTGTGCGAGTACAAAATTTACCATTCCAGTTACAAATAAGAATTTAAAGTTTTTTTTTGGACTTCACTTTGCAAAAGTTTCGAGTCTCTGATAGGTAATAGTTTTGACTTCTATTTTAGTATTTCCAACAGTCCGTTGAACTATATATATACATATATATATATAATTAATAATTACTTGTCCAAAGAGAAATTTTTCATTCATGTTCTATTATTATTAAAGGGTCGTCTTCCGGCAGGTTTCATTTTATCTTCATTTTTATTTTTACCGGAATGTCACTCTGTATCGTTTTACTTAAAAGATTCCAAGTCTTTAGTAGGTGGAAAACTGCAAAAGTTTTACCTGCTATTTTTATCTTTCTGGCAGTCCGTTGAACAAAAAAAAAAAAAAAGAATCGAGAGTCTCATCCATATTCATTTTCATCTTTAACAGCATGTCACTCTTTATCATCCAAGTTTAGAGTCTTTCGTATGTTAAAAACCTGCAATGATTTTTGCTAGTATTTAGTAATTTTTATAGCCTCTTGAAACACACAAAAAAAAACAAAAAAAAAAAAATTTGATAGATCTCATTCCATCGTCATTTTCGTCTTTAATAGTACGTATGTCACACTGTAATGACCTGCTTAAAAGATCATTTGTCTTTGGTAGGTTAAAACCTTGCAATGATTTTGGCTAATGAAAGTGCTGCCAATAACATAGGAAAAAAATTTCATCAGACAATTCAATATTAGAAGACATAAAAAATACATAAATGTAAAAAATAAGAACAATAAAAGAAAGTATTATTGAAATTGAACCTAAAAAGAGGACTTTGTTGTTGTATGTTTGGCAGCCTGTTTAAAAAAAAAAAAAACAAACCAAGCACTACTTATTTATTAAAAGAGAAATTCGTCGCTCTTGATTTGTAATTATGAAAGGGTCATCTTCCGACGGATCTCATTTAATCTTCATTTTCATTTTTAATAATATGTTACTCTTCATCGTAATCCTTAAAAGTTTCCAAATCTCGGAGAGGTTAAACACTTGCAATGGTTTTGATAGTTATTTTAGTATATTCAATCAGACAAAATCCATAGACAATTCAATCCAAATTAATTCAAAAGACATAAAAAACGTAAATATAAAAAAGAAGAACAATAAAAGAAAGTACTATTAAAATTGAATCTGAAGATTTTGCTATTTTAGTATTTTTAACAGTCCATTAAACTAAAAGAAAAAAAAAATCAAGCACTACTTATTCGTTCAAAGAGAAATTCTTCGCTCATGATTTTTAATTATGAAGGACCCGATCTTCATTTTAATCTTCTGAGTCTTTAGTAGTTTAGTAGGCTAAAAACATATAAATATTTTGGCTATTATTTTAGTATTTTTGGCAGCCCATAAAAAAAAAAAAGAAAAAAAGAAAAAGAAAATCAAGAAGTACTTGTCCAAAAGAAAAATTCTTCGTTAGTATTTTCTCTAATTATGAAAGAGATGTCTTCTTGTATTTTCGCTAATATTTTTCCTGTTTGTTGTAGCAAAATCGAGAATAAAAAAAAAACCTAAAAACCCCATGTTAATATTATTTATGGAAATGTCTTTATTTTGTTTATTTAAGACACTATTCTCTTGGGCTAGTTTATATTTTCTTTTTTTTTCCTTTATGCTTACAATTTTTTATAGAGATATATGAAAAAGTACTCTTAATGATAATACTTTTAATAAACATGTTTCGGAAGGTGACTTCATTACATATTTAGTAAGTACTCTCATTTTTTTAAAAATATAATTTTTGTTATTTATTCTATATTAATAAGTATACAATTTATTACTTCAATGAAGTCTAATAAACACATAAGAGATGTTGTTTACAACATGTAATAACAATTATGCGAAATAAAAAAGTACGAAATGGACACCAAAGTGCTACTTAATTACTCCAAGAATTGAGTGATAAAGATTGCTAATTTCTTCCTAATTTTAATTTGTAATGTAATTGAAAATAAATAAAATTAATACCAAATTGGAATAGTGCTAGAGTCTACTTTTTAAATAATAGAAAAGAATATCCTCGTTGATGCTACATCCTACCTTTTCCATAGCTAGGTTGTTGCAGGAATTTTACCATGATAGTTCTAAGAGTCTGGTTTAATATGTCTAGCAAATACCAATTACATATGGTTGTTTATTTATTGCGGTCTGCTAGTGTCCGAAAAAGGAAAAAAAAACTCATAATCAAGCATCCAAATATCGGTATAAGACCTAAGCACTACTCCGTCCTAACGCAAATACCACATCCAGTGCTCCATCATTTAAATGCCTCACCTGCATACAAAACAAAGGAAAAGAACAACATTTAAAAATTATTATTGAACTTCAATACTAATTTACGTATTTAAAGAAACACAATCAAAGCATAAAAATATTACATTGTCATACTGTTCTCTCTCTTTGCAAATAGAAAAAAAAAATCCTAGGTAAATCAGCACTTATAAATTGAGTATATTAATCAGGGACCAAAATTAGCATTATTGTCCAGAAAAATAAGAGATCATGATTGAGCAATAGTTCCCTTACCGTTCTTTTAAGGAACATTTTCTCCTTAATTTTGTCCGGCATTATCATTCTCAGAATCCAATTAATTACATCATTTTCAACTCCAAATCCATCCAATTCCTCGTGTGCAACCACAATCCAAGACTTTCTCTCTAATTCATCAATTCATAATAGTGGGGTCCAAGTTATACACATCCCGTCTCTGGCAAAAAGAACACCAAGCAACTAAGACCCCTTCAAACGCATAGTCGGCAACTGCATAAATGATTTCAACAATTCATTGAAACTAAACACATGAACGCAGAAGATTGCAAATAAGATACATCCAGAAAAGCACTAATGTCGCCACCAAAAACTGAAAAGAACTAAACAAAACCAAAGACCTATAATCCAAACAACAACAGAACTCCACAAACTTGAGTTGAAGAAAAATTCAAAACAGAGAGAAGATCATAAATTTAGTTGAATACAAATCAGCTTCTATGAGTAATCTAGGAGAAAGATGGAAATTGAGGAAAAAAGATGACTTTTATCAAAACATAATAGCTTCAAAGCCACCAATATCACAATTATAATATAAAGCACCTAAGTACACCTTGCAGGTTGTAAAACACATGCCCAACAAAAAGGGGTTAAAAAAAATATTTCAAATCTTCAATTCCTAATATTTCTCCTAATTTTTAGCCATGATTAACCATATTCAACTTTCTATTCCATTCAATCCAAAGACGTCTCAAACTAAAAAAATCTAAAAACCCAAATTTTATCTATGCAGCAATTTGGCATCAGAACCTCTCGTCGACGATATTTTTAAAGACGGAATCCGGTTGTGCATCAAATCCCGTGAGTTTGTTTGCAATATACGTTGCAGAATATGAGAATTAAAGTAATATATGATTTTATTCATCGGTTTTGCTTGTTTCTTCCATGTATGAAGTTCTAATAATGATATTTTTTTCTGAAATATTCATGAGGAGAGCCACGATTATGTACTCTAATTCGAATAAGAGCAACTCGATGAAGAGAAAAGGAGGTAATACTATTATTTTTTTAAATAATTGGTGTGTTTTTTGGGTTGGGTTATGCAGATCTAAGATATGTCCATTCGATTATACATGTTTGTTCATTTATTTTTTAGTTTTGTTCATCGATTTATTGTTGACTTTAGAAGAGATTAATAAATCTGGGTATTATTCATCATTTCGATATCGTTATTCATCATTGATAATGAGATATTCATCGTCAATAATAGATCTGAGCATTATTCATAAGTCTGATTAGTTCATTAATTTGTTGTCGTTGAACATCAGTTTGTTGTTGTATTTTTTTGGGAATA